TCTCCTCCAGCCTGGCTGATGTGTCGGTGAGGGTCTGCTCGGTCTCCTCCAGCCTGGCTGATGTGTCGGTGAGGGTCTGCTCGGTCTCCTCCAGCCTGGCTGATGTGTCCGCGAGAGTCTGCTCGGTCTCCTCCAGCTTCGCTGATGTGTCCGCGAGGGTCTGCTCGGTCTCCTCCAGCCTGGCTGATGTGTCGGTGAGAGTCTGCTCGGTCTCCTTCAGCTTCGCTGATGTGTCCGCGAGAGTCTGCTCGGTCTCCTCCAGCCTGGCTGATGTGTCGGTGAGAGTCTGCTCGGTCTCCTCCAGCCTGGCTGATGTGTCCACGAGAGTCTGCTCCTTCTCTTTGAGTTTAGATGTTCCTTCTTGTATTTGCATGTTGAGCTGTGCAATTTCAGTGGCTGTTTCTTCTTTTGCATTTTCAAGATCTATTGTGAGCGTTTTGATGATCTGCTTTAGTTCTGTGTTTGTGTTCACAAATTCCTTTTCCTTTCTCTCCATTTCTGCTTGCTGTTCTTCCATTTGTTGCATATGGACCTTGCATTCTTGATTCTTTATCATGAGCATATCTTCTAGCTCTGCGCACCTCTTTCTTAGTTTTTCTAACTCATCACGTGTGTCAGTTAGTTCACGGTTCAATACATTAGTGTGCTGATTGTAGGATCGCTTCATTTCTTCGAAGCGTCCAGTTTCTTCGCCTAGCAGTGCTTCCAGCTGTTCCTCATGCTCTGAACGTATTTCTTGCATTTTAGAGTTCATGTCACGTAGCTCATCCTCAAGCATTAGAAATTCTCCGTACAGGATTTGCCTCTGCTGTAGCAATTGGTAATCTGCGTGCGCAAGCTCCTTCTCTAATCCCTCAATCTCTGTCGTCAAATGCTTGGACATATCCTCATTTTCACAGTTTCGCAGTTTCTCTTCCAAATCAGCAATTCGTTTCAGTAGCTTTTCGATTGTCTCTTGGAGCTGATATGCTGCGTAAAGGGCTTCCCTCTTGAGCATGTATTCATCACGCAGGCGCTCGCTTAGATTGTTGCCGCTCTCTTGCTGCTGCTCAGGATCGACTGTGTTGATCTTTGCATGTGTTGTGATTTGTTTGGCGCGGTCTGCGAAGCGCAATGCCTGAACAGTTAAACTGGAGTCTTGAGCACTGGGTGCGATAGTAACCAATATAGTGGATATGCTGTTACCGCCGATATAGTCTTTGAGGAGCTTCGTCAATGTGCTGTTACGAAACTCCGGAATGGAGCGCATATCGCTTTTGCCACGTGTTGCTACAGCTTCGATACATGACCCCAGCGAAAGCAACGAAAGGTTGATGTTACGTGCCTGCTCGAAGGCAATGCCATCTTCGGTGCCAGCCAGTTTGATGCGTTCAGACCCCGCTAGGTCCGCCAGCATGATCCTGGCACAACGTGGTGCGAGATCGACAGACTCAAAGTGTGTTTGCACCTCCAACATAAAAAGTGTATGCGCGCGAGACGAGTGGTCGTGAATGTTGGTCGCTGCGAAGGTGCGTAGAGGTTCGGCCTTGTTCAGCACTGCCAGAACATCTTGGTACTTGTGCACCGCCAAAGTTTTGGCCCCTACAACATGGAACGTGTTGCTTGTGAAGTCGTTGCGCACGCTTAGCTGCTTGCGGTGGTTGAGAAGATCAAACACGTCTTCGAGGTAAACCTCGAGCATAGACGCCCTTACCGTGTACGTAACTCCCTTCTGGACACTTGTGGCCGCGCGCGCGAATATCATGTTGCACACGCGCGGAATCAGTCCTTCCTCTGGCGTCCCTAGGCACCCCACTGGTCCGAACGACGTGTACGTTTTGCCGCTTCCAGTTTGTCCGTATGCCATTACAGCAGCATTATAACCGGCCAATGCGTTCTCGACTAGTGGACGCCCCACTTCCTCGAAGATATCGTCTTGTGTCGCGAAACGCTTGCCTGTCGGGCACGCACGATCGTTGCTCCAGAAGCACCCGTCGAACGAGAATGTGAAGCGTCCCTTCTTAGGCACGTTCACTTCCACAGTTTCGTCCTTCATTCTCACAGCAAGCTCTGCCGCATCACCGGCCTTCTCTTGTGGAAGGAACCCGCGTACGCGCACGTACACGTTGACACGATTGTTATGCTTGATAGCTTCAGCCCTCTTCAGCCCGATGGAGGTGTTGCTGCGTTTGAATGTGTTCTTGCTGTCATTCATGGAATTGCTACGCTCAAAATTCTCTGATTGCACGCTGACCTCACCCTTGTCCTTCTGCTCCTTGTCTGAGCGAGGTCCGCGGCGCGGTGAAACAAGTTGGGTGGTGGGGCGGGGTGGCAGTGGCGGGACGGGGCTGCTGGCTTGGGAAGAGGGACCACGGGCACTGCGGGCCGACGTCTGTCGCTGCGCTGTCGGAGTACTAGCCCGGTTTGTATCGGCTCGTTTACTTGTTGGGGCCCGACGGCTCGAGTTTAGAGCCCCACGCGAGGAGTCAGAACGCTTGAATAGCATCCTCCTTTACTGAATGATAAGGGAAAAAGATACAACGAGATCAAACACAATTCTAAAGACGTGCAATGGAATTCTTAATAATAATAATCTAATTCAACGAATTAATACACGAAGACAAAATAATACAATAAAATACAATGGAACTACTATTACCAGCAGGTACCACTACCTTCTGTTCCAAGTTATATATTTGGGATATACCGTTAATCTAAAAAGTAAATAAATAAACCTAATATGTCTAACAGCGCGACAAATGGGAGGCAAGGCAAGATTTTCAAATAAACGAGAGTGACTACTTCCACCATCCATACCTATATGCAAAACACTTTTAAGCTTCTAGAGATTGCTTTGCATGGAGTTACGGAATATATATTAGTCGGTTCATCAATGTACAAGCTATTTCATAACGAATTGAATCCACATTCAAGCATTTGGCGCCATAAGAAGCAATAAGAGCACCAACGCAAGGCTGAAATGGGGAGAGCGATTTCAAAACAGGTTGGTTTAGCCAGTATGTATAAGATGCATCTTTTATTGGTGAGATAAGGAACTACACTGATTGCTCCTTTTAGTTTTGATAATATTATGTTTTTTATCTCATTTTATTAATAGAGGATTCCAATACTTTTTGCTTTCCATGACTTACTGGATGAATTTGTTACGTCTTGGGTGCTTACAATTTTAAAGGATTGAAACCCTTCATTCAAAATGATTTAGAGGGCGATTATTGTATTGACAACTCTTCATCTCTTAAGAGGGATTTTGCTTTTTTTTCTGGTACAACTGTTCTTTAAGACCTTTCATAATGAAACGTTCCTTCAACGCTCAAAATCATGAATTTGATATCTGGGGTTTCTGCCTTAAGCTTCTGCCCCCCCCTTTCCCCCTAAAAGAATGCAATTGACGTAATGGCTAGAAATAATGTTCTTCGCTCTGTAACGCTACAAATGAGTTTCTCTTCCTTATTCTTATGCACCATTATAGGAACAGATAGAGTCATCTCCTGTGTGCATTCAGTTGCATTGTATAAAAATATATTCAGAAAATACGGTATCCCTCTTCTACTTATCGATATTGCACCCACGACATGCACTAGCGCCTCGACAACGCTTCATGCCTGTGCCGTGAAAGGAAAAGGGAATTCATCCACATTATTATCATTTCAGCATAAAGGTGGTGAATTCAGCAATAATAGCAAAAAGGTAACATTTTACTTCCATATTTCGTTTCTATCCGCCCGATTTGTAGGCAGAATTTTTTATTTTCATTGACGACCTACTTAATTTTTTGTGTCTTTCCTCTGTTCAACAAGGTCCTTTGGGACACCAAAAGGGACCTTGGCAACAAGTTCATCTGCCTCAACGAACACTAAGGTAGGCCTTCCAGAGGCCGGCGCCGCTGGTGTGTCTTTTTTGCTTCTGCTAACACTACTAGTCATAACTGGAATATTTTCATTAAGATTTGATTCCACGTGATCAGTTTCTCTGATCTCGCTGCTTTGACTGACAGAAACATCGATTTGACTAGAGGAATCCTCGTCTGCTGGTTTTGCATTTCCCTCGGTTATGTAATGAATAATAGCCTCTGAGTGAAAGTAACCCCATGGTATAATCACTTCGCTTTCGATACCCTCTTGAAACCATTGCTCACATTGCATGCGAGCCAGCTGGGCCACCTTGCGCTCGCGATTCCTGCGGACAACAGGGAACAACCCAATTTCTGGCACAGAGACACTGGATGGGGATGTTTCACCCAGTGCGCTCAGCCGGATTGCCTCATCCTGTAGCAACGCTTGTACTTTTTCCATATCCAGATCCGCACCATTATGCAAATTGAGGCCGCAATACGCTGCCATCTTTGGTTTTAGGTAGCATTCCTGTAACCGCACCTCATCAATATAATGAAGCAGGGTATCGTAATCCACTAAAAGTTCCTTACAGATATCTCGCATGGTATCCTCTGTGTACAGATTATTTTGGTCCGCCTTCGAAAGCATCGCCTCCCGTAGGGATTCATTTTGCGCAATTTCATGGTACTCCCGCATTTGAGCTTCCTGAGCCTCACGGCTGTCACATAAACCCTCAAGGAAAATAACAGTGTTTTTGTTATGCTGGACGGCTTTGCGCATGTAATCGAGCACACGATCATAAAACTGGATACTTGCAATATGGAGTGTAGGAATGATGGTTACTTGCGAGGTTCCGAGTCTGGGCTTTGCCGAGGAGGAACTCAAGCCCTGGGGGGAAGCCTTCGCAAGGAAGCGTCTCCAGCGGCTGCCTACAACCAACAGCTCATCGTAGGCAGAGTGTAAGAGAGAGGATCGTTTGAAGCTCATTGGATGCTTTTTCCTTTGTATACTGTTCTGCACAGTAAAGAGTAAAGAAGCCTTAATTCCTTAATCTACAAGCCCTACGACCTACTTAGCAGTAACAAAATGAAAAGGTTGTTGAAAATGGTAAAATAACCCAACATATGGAAGCATAAAACTATAATGAGATGTGTGTACGTATACGGATTGTTTAAACAACGATAATGTAACTTTTCCATTACCTATGGACTTTATGATTACATCCTCCCTTTTGTTTATAAGAGATTTCACATTAGCAATAATCGTCAATCTACAGAAACGATTCGCTTCGCTTATTTCTTCTAAACGAAGTTGCGCAATTTTGGTATCAGAATTTTGTTTAGACGCTCTTGATGTTCGGCACGGAGGTTCTTTAATGAACCTAACAGATTAGCTATGCTAAGTGATTCATCAGATGGCAGTTTCCAATGCCGCACGACTAATTCCTGCATGGCTGCTGAAACAACAGCATCTGGTAAAATACGGGATCCTAGATTATTGCCCAGCTCCAACAGGCGTACAAGCTCTCCAAGCGGACAACTTTGTTTGATTTGCGCTATGATTTTATTTGCGAGAAGCTGCATTATAGTGCGAGTTCGGGGAAGATGTGTAAGAAGCAACGAAACCGAATCCTCAGTCACTGATGCTAAGTCATCCAAGGTTGTCTCATACACTTCCAGTAGCGCCATCTGCTGCGCGGGTGAGACGTATGATGCAGCCCCCTCAAGCACCACCACCAGCTGCTCGCAGAGCCCATCCAGGACATGGCGTAGTCCAGCTTGTCGTTGTGTGGCTACCTCCACTTCGGCTATCAAGGCCTTAGGTATACTCCTACCATTAACTTTCACTGTAGGCAAAGGGTTGGTGGCAGCGAATCCGGCCATGGGACTTTGGTGCGTGCCTGCAACCATACTCATAGCGCCAAGACACCCCATATAGACTCGCAACACCGCGAGCAGTTCTGCGGGCGTAAAGTCGGTTGCCAAGAACAAGGCCCGTTCCTCCATCGCGTGCGCCAGCCACAGGCTCATTTCTAATGAGTTCGAAGCTACAGAAAGCATTATGGCCAATGAACGTGCACAGCTGCTCGTAGTGCGTGCAATATAGCTTCGCAAAAGCATTTTCTCCTCATGCTCACTACAGTTGCCGTGTAATTTAAGCGCAGTGTATAGCACGGAGATATCTACACAATCTAACTCGTCACACACGGCAACGGCCTTGGCTTGAAGCTCTTCAAGAAACTGCTGGAAGTGCTGTCTTATAGACTGTGGGGCAGCGCCAATAGTATCAATGACATTCACCAACTGAGAAGCGGTAAGATCATCGATGCACTGCTTAACTACTAGAAGCACGTTGTGCAGAAGAGAAACGGGGGTGGTCTCGGTGCAGGCTTCACACACAGCAATACACTCTTGCGTAGTTAGCTCTGGCACCAAACCTGCCAGCCTCTCTGCAACATCTCGATAAAGTTCGCTGTTTTGCTTTCGCAAGTCGGGGAGGCACAAGAAAAGATCCACCAACTCGTTCGCTACAATGCTATCGCGCTTGAGACGTACCTCTTGCATCACTTGTTCAATTTGTGCTGTATCCCAAAAGCCGAAAAATGTACTGCACTTTAAGAAGGCAATGAGGTCACTCGACCGAGCACCGCGCGTATCACAGATCTTCCCACTGAAGTACTTGTACTCACCACGAAGGAGATTGCGCTCGTGGTGGTCGCGGGTCTCCTCGTAACGTTTCTTGACGCGTAACATGCGCCGCGCTATCTCAGCCACTGGAATAGGACGTTCTGACATCAGGTAGTTTCGTTTGGAGTGCTCCAGCTCTACAAGAGTGTTTTGGCGCCAAAAAACGTACCCTGGAGTGCGTTTGGCACATAGGCGAAAGGTTTTGCATAGCATTCCCAATCAACACACCACCTTCGGCCCTTCTGCACTTTTATATTTCCTTTATATACAAATAATACAGCAGTCACACAAAAAGGGTAAAAATGAAATAGCTTCGACAAATTTTCTTTTGCAATAATGAAGGCAATGGCTTGTGGTCGTACTTATAAATCGTTGCTCATGTCAATTATGTATCTGTCGGCAGCAACTTTTTTTTCGAATTCTTACATAAAGAAGGCAGCAAAGGGCATAAACCTTGCTGTAGATTTTACACTACACTGTTTCTCATGACAATCTCTGGCTAACACCTAAAGTAAATTGTGACACAGATAACACTCATTTGCGATATGGGAAGCAGCAAGCGCCTTTAGATTAACAGAGGGAATCTTCTACTCAAGCGCTTATATGGAAACATGTACATACCTTTATCATTGTTTTTTTTACCCATGATAGCGGCGTGGCCTCTTGGTCGTGATGGCCGCATTAGAATTACCACACTTTTGATCAGCCTCCATGAAACCCTTATTGCATAAACAGCATTCAAAACAACATATACGTTAAGTGCATCGGAAATGTTTCACATAATGTGCAATTGCGCGGTTTGTGTTGCGTTTTGTGAGCTCATTTCTATGACAAACTTGAGGGTAATCTACGAAAGAGATAGTTCACACTTTTTTCGAGGCCGATTTAATTTCCATTAGCGCATCCGAAGGAAGACCTCTACAGGGAGGTCTGCGTCTCTATACAAGAAGAAGAATCATGCTATATATATATATAAATCACCGACAAAGTTTGTCACGTTATCATACGAAGCATTACCACTCAGAGATGAAAGTTAAGTTCCTGCAATCTTTTTTCCAGGGCTTAAATTGTGAAGCTACAGTTAAAATTAACTAATGATAGGTAGATTCCCGTCTAGATGTCTCAGAATTGCGCTTTCTCATAAGTCTGAGCCTTAATACCTGAATGAATATATAGCTATAAAATGTACATCCTCGATTTCACATAAGCACATAAGGTAGGCCTATGAAACAGGTGAAAATCATAGATATCTTCAGCGCATAGAAAGTGATGGTGATATGCCGCCACGCGTCGAGGCTAAAAGCTGTTGCTGAGATTGCATAGTTCCACTTGTATCAAAAAATTGCATACAAAAAACGCATATTTCTTCACGCTTGTACAACTGAGAGGGAGGCGGCATACGATTCCCACGAGGAAGTTTGACGCCCCACTTACGGCGTAATTCCAAAACGGATTTATGTGTAATTGCTCCAGGAAGTTCGTTGACATAAAACGTTTGCGTACACAAAGCGCATTTTTTACGTTTCTGAAGGCCTTGCTTCACGCGTGTTTCCAACTCTTGTGGTGAGTACTTTTCTTGCATTTTCAGAGTATGTATCACTCCTTTTATTTTCCTAACCCGATGCCCGTCCAAAAGACTAAATCAAGAAAGAGATATGGTTAGGATTTTGAAATTTTTCATCAACAATTAAGAGGGGCGAGAGGAAATAGAAAAATACAACTCATCTAGGAACTTAGTATTAATCTAAAGGAAGAAAAAGGGTATGTTTCCCTTTCGAAGAAAGAATTATATGAACACATCTTTGTATTCGATTTTCTCAAGAGTTTACACCTTTGCGGAACGAATGAGCATAGAGCACCATTCCAAGTATGTTTTTAAAAGATTCTCTTCATAGTCTTGTTCCTGCCTGAGAGAATAAACTTGTCAGGAAAGGGATCAGTTTTCGTTTTGCGTAACGATCGTCTGAGAAATTTTTCTAAATTCACAGCGCTTTCACAGAAAAATGGAAATGCAACCTATGACACCACAATGTCGCCATCACGCGCTTTGTGATCATCATTATTCATTCATCCTCCTATTTCCTCCATACGATTGCGCTTAGTTCTAGAGGTTTTAACGACCTCTATGGACTGCCGTTCGTACCCAGGTGGTTGCCTCTCCCTTTTTCGAGTTGCTCCATCCCCCTTGTCGCTGACATATCCCTGATTCGACTCACATGTTAACGTTTCTTCCCGTACTTCTGGTACAGCACCGTTGACGCTACCACCTTCAAATTTTACCGCCTTTACAAGGTTCTTCTTTTCAAATCCTGTATCGCTAACGCTGCTGTAAAGAGATGTCCCTTCAGGGAGCTCCAGCAATGTGTAATCCATCAAGCTTGGTAAAGCTTTTTCCTCTAAGATTCTGTAGTCTGTCGAGCCAAAGTTAAAAAGAGATCTAGCGCATCGCAGGGAAACCTCAAAGCCAAGAAACGACTGAGCCCCACTTACCATAGGCAGCTCGTCGACATCGAGAAAGGTTCTTGCGCGCTCATCAGCTACTTTAGCGGGGCTCGGGTTGAAAAAATTCCATGTCAACTCATCGCAAACGTCATAAAGTGGTCGATGACTCCGCTTTCCATTCACAATAACATCACGAATAACCAAAAGGAAATTTACATTGAAAAATGCACTTTCACAGCCCTCTTCCACAAGCCTCTTCATTAGGTACGTAAGGCCAAGGTTCACATCGGCGTCGTTTAGGCGCCAATGCTGTAATGCCACTTTTACGATGTTCATATGCTTTGGGGTTGCGAGCCTATGGAAATAGCTGCTTGTTGTTACCTCGCGTTCCAAGGTAAGGTCTGAGGAAGCAGTGAAGTTGCTTGAGGCCACAGAGTCGGGATAAGCCTCAGAGGCAACGCAGGACGTCTCCCTCGCAGAATTGTCAACTCCATTATTGTTAGACGTGTCATTTGCTTGATGCGCAATTGCTGTGCTGATAGATAAATCTCCCACTGCTTCAGCCTCACCATTCGCGCGATCCACGCTAATCGGTGGTGTTGCCTTCACAGAGCTTGACACCCTGTCATCATCTACACTAACAGCATAAAGTTCCGCTGAACTCTTCGGGTTGGAATCGCTCATTCCTTTGTCATAATTCTTTTCACATAGCTCAGTTAGTGGTTCGGAGATTTGATTCCCGAAACTCTCTTCAATACCATTTGCCTCATCCCCAATCGTGCGTGTGGCCTCCAGCGGCGTTTCGTCTTGTATATATTGTAGCTCATACTTGCTTACAGCATCCAGATCAACAGCACCACTGACTTTGTTTTGGTGATGATTGTGTGTGGTGCGTTTCATTAGCAGCAAGCGTCCCTTATAGCTGCAGTGATCCATAAGCTGAAACACAGCATATATGAGCAAAGTAAGGGCCTGAGCGTGCGCCACACCAAGCTTCTTGTTTCCTGTGCACACACTTATGAGATCAAAGAATGTTTTTATGTTCATTTCCTTATAGAGTATGGAGGATACCAAGGCGTGTGCGGCGACTGCCACAGCGGGGTCCTGAATCAGATCCCCCTCTAAGAGGAGCGTCAGCACGAGAAGCATCTCCGCAAGATACTGTACTACAACTATCATATCTAGACGCTGACGAAGATCTTTGCACTGCAAAAACGACCTCAGCATAGCGAAACCACCCTCAAGATGACCTAGCGAAATGATCGACGACACACTTTGCCACTGTTGCTGGAAGGGTGACGAGGTAAATGGAATATTTTCATCCTTCATGATCCGCGCAGTTTCTCGAATATAGGCCAGAAAGCTTGTGGAAGTTTTGACATATGCCAAGACGTTGGAGAAAGATTCATACACACTGGCCTCAAGTGGCGAGGCCATTTCCGCAGTTTCATCTGAGTTACGATAGCCTGCTATCATTTCCTTATACTCCTTGGTCGACTGATCCACAGACTGAATTACACTTTCAAACCTTGCCCAAGTCATCACACTAAGTGGCTCAAAACCGAAACATAAGAAGGAGCGTATTTGCTGAGATAGCTGGATCTTTGTGGGTAAAGGGATATCGCTAAAGGGAGCAGTGCCCTGAAACATGCCACCCACAAAGCGACCCCGCTTTCGGAAATCTATGTCTTTCATTGTTTCGAGCGGATCTTTACGTTTAGTGCTCAGTAGTGTCGAGACAGAGCCAATGGCGCGACCACCAACGCGTTGTTTGGCATCGCCATGACCGTCCTCGTTGTTTCTAACACCGGAGTAAGTTCGCTTTACGTCGGGGCGCACAAGTATACTGTTGGAACTCATGGCCCCATTCCGTCCTCGCGCTATGCAGCGCCACTTGTCGCTTTCCTGCTTACACGCCCTGAGTTGCTCACTGTCATGAAAAGGAATATTGAGCTGCTGACTTGATGACAGGCTAAGACCGTTTGAGATGCTGAGCTGGGCAAGCTCGATGGGCAATACGCAAGAGAGAACATTTGAGAGTGATTTTATTACTAACACATTCCACTTCCAAAGCTGCTGCTCACTCTCGAAAAAGTCCTTCACTCGTTGCTCAAATTGGTGCGCTAGTGCTGAGGAAGCTTTTGCTATAAAGTCTTCACCATTATCAATATCCCCCTCCTCTTCATCTTCTCCAGACGTAGAATCTTCATTCAAAACTACTACTTTTTCGGCTGCAGGGAGTTGGATTGCACAATTGCTTTCAATTTCCTGACTAAGCGCCAAATTTGCTTCTTTGACCGCATTTTGCCTGTTTGCATTATGAATTTCGAGATTGCTAGAGTTTGTAGTGCTTTCGCTTTTCAGAGAAGAGAGACATGACGCATCTGTGTTCCTTACGCACGGCGGCTTTACTTTTGCGTAGTTTTGACTAACAACAACAAGAAGCAATTCAACACCTTGGCTACGGCAAAAAGATCCTGCTACCGTTGTGATATCACGTGGGTGACCCTCTAGCACATGCGAGATTGTGGTCAGCACGATATCCAAAAGAGAAAAATCTTTCTGGGAAGCCTTTCCCGACGCACGATTCGTCGCGATATCAGCAACAATTTGCACCATGAGAGCGAAAAATTGGTCTGTACCACACCGGACCTTAATTCTCGTTAACAAATCTTTTTGCTGCGCTTCCTGTGCAGAAAACCGTGGAACGGGTAGAAGCAGCGCAATAAGCAGTTTCAGCAACTGTGGGAGCAAATTTTCAACAAACCTAATACCATGTGCTAGTAAAATAGGGATAACAATACGCTCCGCTACTTGTAAATCAGCCAAGAACATAAATTCACTCCGATATGTCTGTTCAGCGCTCGCAGGAAGGGTAGAAGAATTCAAGTTCTCCTTTTGGACAAGTTTATTCTCGTTGTAACAGAATTCCTCATTTTCGTCGTCGTCGGTATCATCATCATAGAGCTGTTTCTGTCGCAATTGCTCAATTTTTTCGACAACGTTGGCATGCTCCCTCAATAGACGATTGCGTAGAAGCTTTGCAGCAGCACAGACCTCCTTGACTTTGGTTTCCTGTGGTGTGCGATCCAGTGGAATATTAAGCACACTAGTAGAAAGCAGAAGTCTCTTTTTTACAGCTTCCGTTGACATTAGTTACACTATATTTCTGCGTGGAAAAATATAGATAGAGGAATAATAAATAAATATACGCCAATTTTAAATAGAATATATGAAGTATAGTAAATTCTATGCAATGTAGCGATCAAACACGCATGAATAAAATGTGTTATTTTCTTCTATATGAAACTTAACTATTAAATCCAGTTTCTTAAAAAAAAAAATTAATTTGTGTAAAAAATAAGAAAATATGCAATGAATAATGGAAGTATCGAAATAAGTAATAAATAACTTTTCATAAAACATATTTTCTTATTTTTTTTAAATAAGAAAATAAAAATACAAATCAAGACATATTTATATTTATCGATTATAAGGCGAAGGGGAATGGGAAAAAAAATTCAAAAATATTCCACAACTGTTAGCTATTTCATTTAACGAAATATGTTTATAGTGACGGCATAAAAAAATAATATGAAGGATTAAGCATCTTTAGGAGAGACTAAAATATAAAACGGCCAGATCACATAGGGCCCACGATTGATTGAAAATCTGAATTTTACGAGACATTCTATACATATATCATGGTACATTTCAATAGATAATAAAATAAATGGAATTAAAAAAATATAATGAACTCAATCTTTAACGTCTCGTAGAACGCATACGATAATGTTCAGTGATATATAAACACAAAATACTTAACGGAGGAGTTTAGTAAATGCTCTCAATTCACAGTAATAAATAAATCAAAACAAAATCAGAACTTCTAATTAATGAAATAGGAGTGAATACTCCTTAGTTTAATCATTGTGATGGGCACACTTGACCGCCGTCAGCTCGATTCATTTTAATTGTATTAAAAACTACTTTAATTAATTTTGTACACTGAAATTATAAAAAAAATATTTAATGCATTTAAATCACGTAATATTATTTATATATATATATATATATATATATATATATATATT